GGCACTCTAGCCCGGGCAACAGAGCGAGACTCTGTCTCCAAAAAAAAAAAAAAAATTTAAAAGTAGCATCAGTGGGTTTTGAATCTACTGGTTTCTGTCGCCAGAGAGCACTTTCTGAACCACTTGTCGGTCCTGCCCCTGCTTGATCCCATAGCAGACTGCCCCTCTGTGGTTCTGGGTACCTTCTTCAGCAAGGACGGAGCTCCTCCGGGGAGGGTGTCGTGCTGTCTGCCCCCTCACAGTGCCTTAGGGATGCCCCGTCAACTTGCGAATGACTTAAGAAGTGTACTTAAGGGCAAAATCCCACCCTATTTGAATCAATACAGGTCGCATTTTTGTTGCTTAAAGATAATAAAAAAATCAGTGTGTGTTATTTGTTAATGTCAAAGCCAGCTTTTAAAAAAATTACTGGACTTTTGTTCATCATTTAAAACAACCATTTTGAACAAACTCAGAATGGTGCCTTAGCTGTTTGAATGTGACACAGAATGAAAGCTCCAGGCAGCTGGAGACTAGGTCACGTCCAGGGGCCTCTTAGTCACTTTTCCTAGAGCAGGGCAGGTGCTACTGCCCTTCCTATTGATGGAGAAGAGGGAAAGAAAAGATTCAGCGTGGTTGTTTCTTTCAGAATGAAATGAAAAAGAAAAGATGCAGTTCTGAACTTGAACACTTCAGTTAGAAAGGCCTCCTGTGACTTAACACTGTGCCTTGCTCTGTGTTTCAGATCAGTGGAGACGCCAGATCTCCCCAACCTCTGACTTCATCTGTCGTCAGCCACACTTTGGGTAGTTAGATCTTCTTAGTCTGTGAGTGGCGTTCCAGGGCAATTTTGAATTCAAAGCTAGAGTTTTCCTTTGATTTTCGCACACTCCTAGGCAGACTTTTGCATGCTCAAGGAATGGAAATAACGTCTGCTTACCGCAAACATAATAAGAGGAAGAAGAAAAGAACTAAGTATCATATAGTCAAGTATTAATTAATTTTTGACTCTGTATTCTTTGTATTATCTACCATACTGCTCTTTCCCTTTTTAGAAATATACTTAAGCATGTTCAATATGGATAAATGAAATACAGGCTAATCTTCAGGTGCCTTGAGGATTTGTGTTTTTTAGAAAAGAAAAACTAACAGACTAAATGCGGGGGAGCTGCGTGAGTGGAGAGGTTGTGTAGATTGTAGACGAGATGATAAAAGTGTATATTACGCTGCACCTGGGACAAAAGGAAATTTAAGACATATCTTTCCTGAATCATTTCAGGGTCAAGAAAGAAGAAACTAGAAAACTAGAATAAATAAATAAATAAAAAGGAATATCTTGGGACAAACAAAAACTAAAACACAACATACCAAAACTTATGGGATACAGTAAAGCAGTACTGAGAAGGAATTTTATAGTGATAAATGTATATATTGAAAAAGAAAAGAGAGAAATATCTTAAATAAGCAACCTAACTTTATACCTCAAGGAATTAGGGGGGAAGAAAAACAAACTAAGCTCAAAGTTAGAAGAGCAAAG